GTGTGACTGTCTGTTCGCTCCTATCGTATATGTCTGTATTTTCGTAAATCTCCTAAATATTTCGTAAATATTTGATTTCATGTGGTTTGTATGTGCAAGGGGAGAAATTGCAGGAGAAACTTCAACCTCATATTCCTCGCTGTCTGCAAAAATACCTGATTTTCGAATCTCATGCTCCAACTCACAGCTCCGGGCAGGCGCACTGCATGCTTGTCTGCAAGCGGTTTTTTCATCTTTTCTTAAGAATAGATTATAGAACCTGAGTGTGGTTATTACCTGTTACCAGCAATTTCATTTTTTAAAAAAATTGTAAGTAGTACTTCCTACGTCAAATATCAGAAATAGAGAAAGCATAGCTAGAAGAGTTACTCATCTGGAAGATCTTTTCTAAGCGTGTTTTCTATGTTGATCTCCGACAGAAATAAACATTACGACTCATACAACAGTTTCAGACCTTCGCAATATTCTCGTTGTATTCTCATTACAGAGATACAATTCAGCACAACAAGAAATAAAAAAAGGAGCGAAAACTTTTACTTGCATGCTTTTGACCAGAATCGCTAACATGCTCCTTACTCGGAAATTTCAGTTGTTGGGAAATTGCACAGGTGAATAGAAATTTCGGCGACTATACATGATGATTAAATTGCTGCCTAGAACGGCATTTTCACACAAGAAGATCTCGGGACAGTTCCTGTGCAATTGTCTTGCTAGCAATAGCGGTTTCAACCGGTTAACGCTAGTCTATGTTTCAACAGGTACAGCATCTAAAGTGTCATATCTTACTTTCCTACTATCTTGGGCAAAAAAATCTGGATGCGACGCGAATGCCCACCACTTTCACAAAAAGGAGACACAAAAAGCAAGGGCGGCGATGGGCAAGATGAGAACGGATGAAGACGTGTCATTAGTTTCATCCAAGTAACGTTCTGTTGCTGCATCAATCAATGAGCTCTGGCTCGTTGCAGACATGGTGAAGGTTTTCTATCCGGACAACTCAAAAAGAATGTTCCAGAAAATGTCAGTCCCCTCTCTACGTATATCAAAGTCCTGATGGATTGTAAAATTATAATAAAATAAATTCACTTAAGCATTATTTCAACTAGGATCTAACTCTTTCATTTACGTAGAAAATACTTTGAGTGGAAGGAGCTCGTCTAGGTGCATAGGCAAAAATTGTCGTACGAGTCGTGTAAGTTCATCTCGGGCTTTTATGAATACTGGCAACTCGGAAAATCGTATGGCGCAGGAGACCGTGTGGCGTGATTCCGTTATTAGCATAGTGCTGTCTGCATGTCAAACATGCAACTGTTGGTATTAAGTTACCGCTTCGAATGTTCCTACGGATGCCGCACGGAAGGATTGAATTCTATGTATCGAATGTGAACGGAGAGTACTATCGTAAATGTGCTCATTTTTTAATGTGATGTCACGAAGGCAAAGCGTCGTTCGGAAGAAATACGCGAATGTGCTCTCCATGGCTGTTGTTCAGGGAATGAAGAGCATGGTTGTGGGGAATATGAAAAGCTTACTGACAAGGGAATGCTTTTTACTCGAAGTGGCCATTCAAAACAAGATGTATACCATAGTAACAAGTTGGGTATGGAAAACTCGTATCTATCTTCCATATCTGCGAAACGGTTCCCTGAAAGAAGATATGGGCACTTTCCATGAGGCCACCTACAGTATAGAGTACTTGGCAACTGACCAAGGAGCAAAGTGACGCAGTGGCAAGTGTCATGGTTTGCAGGTGTGCGGTGCAGGTTTGAATCCTGTTATCGGTGAACATTTTGCGTTTTTTGCAATAATGTATATTTGCTTGATAAATCTTGAAAAAACACTCAATTTGACTATATATTAGTCATGAATATTTAAATCATGATAAGAGCATTCACCTTTCCAAACTCTTGCTCAGTTTTTTTTGCTTCCCTCCTTATCTGCAGTTGCAGTGCAAACAATTGCGACGAAGAACATCCCCTTCGATGCGCTGACTGTGAGCTGCTATTATGTTTTTACTCTTTATAGACAACTATCACATATGTTCATGGGGGAAATAATTTCAAATTAACATCTAATCATTGGTTTAGCTTAACCTTGGACAATAAAACAAGTTAATAAAGCTTTCTGTAGCAATAACAGGTAATTGCAAAAACGCAAAGTTTTCGCCTGCAACAAGACTCGAACCTGCACCGCACACCTGCAAACCAAGACACTAACCACTGCGCCATCCTAACACTTGGCGCGCTTGGGTAAGTACTCGTAATTATAGGTAGCCTCATGGAAACAAGCGCCCATATTTTCTTCCAGAAAACCGTTTCGCAGATATGGAAGACCGATTTAAGCTTCCCATACACAACTTGTTATTATGGAATATATCTTGATTTGAATGGCCACTTCGAATAAAAAGCATTCTCTTGTGAGCTTAGTCGACTACTTAAATTGCATATGAAAGAGACGATATGATAAATGACGCGACAGACGGCAAAAAGATCAGCGAACAGGAATGGCTGAGCAGTAATTAACGTGAAGCTAAAAAATGATGGTTAATGAGTGAAGTGTTATGGCCGCGCGGGGGGATCCAGAAGCGGACACTGAAAAGTAGGGTAGTCTTAGGAGATAGGACATGTAAGAAACATTGACAGATGCGACAGAAGTTTAGCTAAACTTTCAAAAGGGCAAACCATGAAATGTTTCTATAGCGCAAATGATGACACGATCAGGCAGAGAAATTGTAAGTCAGTGGCGGAAAAAGCTTCCAGA